CATCTGGTCACATGGGCGGCAAGCCACTCCCACAAAGGAGGCCACACCCACAGAGTAGGTTTTTGAAACCCACCACTGGTGCAGCAGGAAAGTACAAACTACTGGATTGGTTCTGGCTCTAGATGTATAGATCGTCACTATAGATGTAGTATAGATGTATAAATGCATAGAGCCACCAGAGGGAATGCTAAAACTAGGAACGTGAGAAATAGGCAGCGTCATTGAGGTCCTGGATCACATGGGCATCTGTATTATCCATGAAAAGTTTCTCTGCTTTCATGGAAACTGAAACTGTGGATTCCTGCAAAAAAGAGATGTTATTGATAGATTGCAGCAAAATGTTTATGTTTATGTCTGAACATTCCACATTGTGGTTTGGGCACAGGGCTACTGTGAAACAGACTCAGGAACCAATTCTATGCTGAAAAACAATGCTATTTTGCCTCTGGATTGTGAAGAAGGTGATACTGAGCATGGCAGCATGAGGTGTGTTAGATCGGGTAAGGGAAAGGCACACAAGGCTTAAAGGCAACAGCAGCTCTTTATTAAGTGCAACAAGTAAGAACAATCCAGCGAAGGTTGAGTCTGACAGCAGCCCTTTTATAGGGAGTTGTCAGACTCTTCGGCCAATGAGATTAAACCTCTGTTCCCGCTGGAACAGAGGACCTTGGTGGAAACCACTATAGTTGTAGCAAGTATCTAATACCCCTCCCCTCTTAGATGGAATAATCCTACTCATTATGTAGTCACGCAGGAAGGTGGGCTTTTGAGTAGCTTTTGCAGACCTGCGCAGTTCAGTCGGAGGGTGTTCTTCGGACAGGTCAGACGGACCTGTTTGCTCCGCAGCTCCGCTTGGTGGAAGCTCCTGGAATCTTTCACAGGCCGCGGCTGGAGCTTCTACAGCTGGTTCGCTCGGAGCTTGCTGTGAGCCTGCAACATACCCAGATAAGTTTCCTGGTACCCTCGGGCTTGAACTACCTGCAGAAAGAGTGAGTGTTTGCTCTGTTTGGGTAGAGCTTTGGCTAACCCATGCAGGAGTTACCTCTGTGTCAAGCCAGCCTCCCTCAACAACCAAGAAAGAAATCACTTAATTTCATTTTTCAGAATTAAGAGTACTTTTACTGGTTATGAGTAGATAGCAACTAAGCAAAGCAAGATCTGAGGCAAAAGCCCGCATAATCATAGATATCAATATGTGA